CTCTATCTCGCGCGCACGCGCGCGCGCGTTGTTTTTTTTTCGTTTGTGTATTTCATTTTTTTTTTCCTTCTTTTTTTTTTTCACTAATGTGTCGTCCCTACAGAAGCGGGGCCCGACGTCCGCGCTACGACCGGGCCTTCCCTTGGCCGACCCCCCTGAGGATGTGGCGCGTATACGGGAAGGCCCACGGCCGATAGCTGAGCGAGGTACTGGTGGTTTAAACATATCATTCACGCATCTTTGGAATGTTGCAAGGGCATGAGTCAAACCAAAGGGCATCATGATAAACTCATAGCGTCCGTAACGGGTTCTCGATGCAATCTTTTTTTTTTTTTTTTTTTTTTGCAAAAATAGCCCTTGTGTAAGCCCTCGGTGGGAAGAGAACCCTCAGAATTGAGGGCTTCTGTCGGGCTGCTCCATGGCACCTGTTGGAAACCGGGTCCAGCGTCCCATCGATACATCTTGTAACACAGAGATTGATGTGTTGTTGTTTCATGGGGCTGTGATCATTTGTGTCTCAGCCCGGGGCTCCGTTGTCCCATAGAGCTGCTAGTGTCACCCATCCCTTCTTGGAGCATCCCTTATCTATTAGCCCAGCCCTATTTGAGCAGCCCCCCTGTTCGATTATTGCGTTGTCTGTCCCTTTAAACCCTATACCCTCTCAAAACCAGTGCATAACACATTCGTGATCCTTTAGCGAGTTTTAAGTGGAGACACAGCTGGCTCTTCCATGGTGTCCAATGGCCTTTATGCACAACTTCTAGTTGGTGATACCCTGACTTAAAATCTATCTTGGAAAAATACTTAGTCTTGCAATCTTTTTCTTTTGGGGGGGGGGACAAATGCTCCAATCTATTCGTGGGGAGCAGCACGTGCTGGAAAGCGGGTCCAGCGTCCCATACGGACTTCTACAAAACATTTAAAGAGTCATAACCATTGACCAGCTTTGGCTAAGAGTTAACTGAGAGTATCCCATGGGAATTTAGAAAACCATGAGCAACTACTACCTTGAATCTTGAATCCACAGAAGCTTTCAGCCTCGAACCAAAATGCTTTAGTGATATTCAGCCGCCTACCCTAAGCCTACCTCAACCCCCATGTCCTCTATACTCAGTTTCTACCAGGCTCACACCCCCAACTGCTACGTAACAGAGTGGCACGACCCACTCCAGAATAATCCCCCACCTGCTGGGCTACAGGGCGAAGCGACCCACCCCGGCTCTGACCAACGTCGTCCGAGTATCAGCTTGCCAACAGACACTGGAGTGCCTTCCGCCCTCGACAACTCCCCAGATCTCTCTACAAGGCCTCTTGCCCCCGTACAGCTCATGATACAAGGTAACGCGACCACGCCCCAGCACCGACCAGCGTCATTCTGGCCTCGTCCGTTCACAACACGGGTATCAGCAAACATCAGACAAGCCGCCAACATCACCATAACAATGGTTCCAATGCCTCCAACTCCTACAGGTGCTGGTTGCAGTCCTTCCTCAACCCCACTTGCAATCAATCTAACAAATTATCTACTCTTGGCAGCAGTTCAACGTTCTTCACCATAATAGCATTCAATCTTTTTTGTCTATGCGCATTCCAAGTTCTCCTCCGTTCTTAGGAACAAATAGTATGTGCGCATGGTACGGAGAGGAGCTAGGCTTTATCCACTCTTCCTCCATGAAGACATCCAACTGCTTTCACAACTCTTCTAACTTTCATTCTGTAGATCCTTCAGAGTCTTCCAGGATGGCGGAGGAGGCAGTCCCCATCTGTTCGTTGTTTGCGAACGATTTGACCATCAATATGGAAGAAATTAGACAACTGCTGGATAGGTTCACAGCGGTTTCAGACATTAACTGGGGAAACAAAACTCTGGGGTGGAGGATCCACCACCAAGGGGCGCGGCCCCGGATTTGCCACGGGTTAAATGGCTACCAGAGGAGGCCGCGGCCATAGTATTAGGAATTATGTTGACGGCACTTGGAAGGCCAGCGTCGAATGATGATTGGGTCCTTAAACCGTCATTGTAGAAATTAACCAAATGGAATGACAAGCATACGTCTCTCATAGGCAGGGCACTCACAATTAACAACACCGTACTGGTGGCTCTTTGGTACAAATCTGCAATCTAGGCTCTCAGTAAAGCAGCAGTTAAATCACTTGAAAGGCAAGTAACCGCCCTTATGTGGAAAGGCAACAGCGAGCTGCCGAATGTCATTAGTCGGGTGGCATGGTCATCGGTAATCCAGCCTGAAGACAAATGGGGCTTAGGAATCTTAAACCCGACGGACATCCAGGTTATGGCATTGCTGATACAATGGGTGAGGAGAATGCTGTTCACGCCAGACCTTCCATGGCTCTCCTTTGCGCTGGAACAGATCACCAGGTTAGCTCCACAGGCACCGCAGGGTGTACACCCACTGATTTGGTTGGACTGCTACTGGTTCATACCGTGGCACCCTCAAACTGACAAGAGCTCGGGCCGGGACGAAGCAAGAAGAGATCTGTCCAGGGATGATTTCTGGCCCCGGGTTCTTAAAGCCTGGCGCCAGCTACCGTTGCCAAACAAAACCCCGCCAACCACATGGGAAGAGGTGATGTGACAACCCCTCTTTGGCAATAGAAATGTCACCGATAGAAATAGGAGGGTGTATCACAGCTCGGACTCCCCATGGAGTAGTTGTGTCATGAAGGGTATAGTTAGAATCAGGGATATATGGTGCCCGGAAAAAACTGGAAAACGACACTACAATTGAGGGCCTCAATGAGATACTGTCACGATGTTGAGCAGAACCTGGAAGAATTGATTTTTGCGGTCCCGCTTGACTGGGTACGCATTTTGCACAAGGGACCATGATTGGCAGAAGGGGACTGGGTGGCAGCCCCAGGAGACACTGAAAGTGTGGGCGACGTGGTGGAGGTACGGGCCAAGGAGTCTTTGGTCAGCCTCCTCCACAAGGGGAAGGATAATGTCCTCTCTAGATACACCCCGAAGGCAGTGAGGTGGTGGAAGAATGAAGAGTTGTATAAAATTTGGGTGATGAGGCAGAAGGATGTATGGGTTGCGTTGCACCCAGAGACCCCTCTTGCAGAGCTCCCTTTCGACCCGGGGGAGTGGCACTGGAGGCGTGCACGCAGGACACCTGCCGCTTCAGATAAACAGTTGTTTAGCCTGACTGTAAAGGACACATAGCGGTTGCAGGCTCATCTGAATGTGGGGAATGACACTCTTCGCCCTATCCGATGGCTTACAACCAGGAGATCCAAACCGGTGAAGTCGCCTCACTACAATGTCAGATAGAGCATCTATGTCTCCCCACTAATAACTGGCTGGTGGACCGTCCGTACCTACAACAGAAGGGCTTGGCGCTGCCATGGTGTAAATCCTGTCACACCACCTTCCCTTCTCGTAAGATTCCGGAAACCATAGAACATATCTTCCTACAAACGCCCAGGAGCAGTGCTAACATGGCCATGATAGGATAGGATATGGAACCTTTTAGTCTGGCCGTGCTTTTTTTTTTCCCAGTAGAGTACCATAAAAGAAACAAAACGGAACCCAGGCTCAGCAAAACTCGGTGCGAAGTGAAAATCAGGGTTGAGAAAAACAGGCTCAGAGGTAGTGGTGTTTCAACGAGCGCAACCTGTCTCTTATACACATCTAGATGTGTATTTTTTTCTTGCATCGAGGTATGTCGCAATTATACCAAATAAGTCTACTCTCCTAGACAGTGTGTTGGCTACCACGTTATACTTGTCTTTGACCGATTTTAGCTCGAAGTCAAAGTTGTCAAAATGTCCTCCCCATCTAGCTAGCTTTGGAGACATTATGGATTGCATCTTGATCCATCACAGGGTTTCATGATCAGAATAAACCTTGTCATCCTAGGAAATGGTGTCTCCATGTGTTTAGTGCCTGTTGCAGCACGGACAGTTCTCTCTTGTACGAGGATGCGGTTACCTTATGAAAGGGAACTCGTTTAGGCACAAACTGTATGAGGAAATAAAATACCCTTTTTCCTATCATCTTGTTGTAGAACCCCTATTCCAAACTGGTTCACATCAGTGGTAACTACGAATGGTAACAAGGAGTCTGCTACTATTTTTAGTGTTGGATACTCAGCCAATGCTTGTTTCAACTAAGGAAAAGCGGAGGTGCAATTCTTGACCCATAAACTCCTCCTTTCTTCAACAATTCACATCGTGTGTTGCGAATGTAAAAACGTTTCATGCAAATTGACAGTAGTAGCTCACCAATCCCAGGACTGAATGCAGTTTTGTCAGTGTTTTTGCATCGGCCAACCTTTAATTGCTGATTTTACTTGATCCTCGTGTATCGGGTGGCCTAAGTATAACACCTATCGGTTGACTCACTCACACTTGTTCATGTTTACGCTCTCTCAACTTCATTGAAACGTTTAACTAATATTCCTGGTGCCAAACGCTAAATAATAATAATAATAGTAAACAAATAAATAAATCTTGCCAAACGCTGGGATGTCGTCTACATATATATTACGACAAAGTGGTCAACCTATTCCTTAAACCACCAGTACCTGGCCCAGCTATCGAGTCCGAGCCTCGGCCGACCGGTACGCCGATCCGTGCTGAGGCTGGGACTACCGGGCGCAGTCATCCCGAACGTCCATGTGAAGTGGACAAAAAAAACGGGAAAACAAAACGAAAAAAAAAGAAGAAATGAGAAAAATAAATGGGTTCATCCTCTCTCTCTCTCTCTCTCTCTCTCTCTCTCTCTCTCTCTCTCTCTCTCTCTCTCTCTCTCTCTCTCTCTCTCTNCCCCCCCCCCTTGCCACCCCTCCCATGCTCCATGGCGTTTTGAGGTAGCTGCAAACACCTTCACTGCACTTGTGCGCGTTCAATGCGCTCAAATTTTGAACGAGAAACCCACCGTCAATGAACGTCCGCGGTTACAAAGAAAGCATTACTACCTCTGAGCCACTTTTTGCCAATCCAGATTCCCCTTGCACGCCAAAAAAAAGAGCAAACCGCCACACCGGCATTTGTTTTCCCTTTCCTTTTAGCTGGGGCTGAAAACAATTTTGGCCCGTTAGCTCTATTCATCCAAGTCTTTGAATGTGGCATTTTCGATTCTCTACTTCGCCTGGGAAAGTTGGTGGTGTTTTTCTTTATAATAAGAAAAGAAGAACAACAAAAAACAAAGGAAGACGGTATCTAAAAAAACTACAGACCAGTCCTAAATAGGCATGTTATTGTTGAACTAAGCTGGAAGTGTCTCTCTCTCTCTCTCTCTCTCTCTCTCTCTCTCTCTCTCTCTCTCTCTCTCTCTCTCTCTCTCTCTCTCTCTCTCTCTCTCTCTCATCCACGCGCACACACAGATAATAGGCAAAACAAAAAAAAAAAGGGAAAACAAGGAAAGCACCACCCACAGACCAGAAGCCTGTAGGGGGGGAATGTTTTAAAGAAAAACAATGAACTTTTCTTAGGGACAAAAAATGGGCAGGACATGCCAGGAAGACAATTCCTTGCTTCACAAAGGAGTGACCTGATTGCTCCTTTCTCTCAGGACACAACTTGCAAGAACGGCGAGAAGATACAAATGCGGAAATGGTTGGCATTGCAATGCATTACATGCACCATTTCCTCCGCCACAGTAATGTATGGTAGTGATCACGAACTCGCAGCATCAACCCTCTCGGAAAAAAACAATTGAGGAGAGACTCTTCGGCAATGAAACCTATTGGGTACCGTATGATCAGGTAGTCTAATGATTCTCCTAGGGTTCTAAATTACAGAAACGACCACAGTCAGCCTGAAGACCACGATGTCCTTGACGTGCTTCCTCCTACTGGAGAAGTGGTCGCTTTCCCGCAGAAAAAGCGTGGTACCGTTGACAAAGCTGCTCCAGTACACTCACTGAGTGCTGCATCTTATTCAGCTTTATATCTCTAGCCATAGCCTGCAAAGATTATCACACACACACACACACACACACACACACACACACACACACACACACACACACACACACACGTGCGCACATGAGCACATGCATAAAAAGTGAGAGAGAGAGACGGAGATGGACACAAACACACACATGGAGGGGGGCGGAAGGGGAGAGAGAGAGAGAGAGAGAGAGAGAGAGAGAGAGAGAGAGAGAGAGATCAACATGTGAGCAATAAAGAAAGGACAGGGAGAACAGAAAAAAAAAGAAACTGGCCAGCACCCATAGAGCATTTCCAGCCTATGGTCACATCAAATTCCTTTACCAAATTTAAATTTAAAATTAAAATTGAGAAAATTGAATATCAGTGCATATCTGCTATCTGGACAGCGTTCAACTTTCTGGCTTTCAATGTGATTTTGCATTGTGGATTTCTGTCATTTGGCTATCGCTTATTTTCCTTGCAACTTGCCCAGTCCGACCAAAAAATAATAGAGAAGTAAAAACAAATAGAAATTACTTTATTTTATCTTTAACTTTAAATTTGGTAAAGAATTTCGATATGACCCTGAGGCGAAAGTTGTTCAGTTTATTTTTCTGCATAATCCTTTGGTAGCCTAGGTAAGAAGCAAGCACTGCATGGAAAATGTGTTGTGGGGTCACTTTAATGATACTGGACATCACAAAATTCAAAGTGTGCGCTTTGTTTTTTTTCTTCCTCTCCTTCGAATCGTAAGTGCAACTCACATTCATACCCCTCTCCAAGTAAACCTTGCAAAGCCGCATCTGAGAGAGTAGGAAAGGCAGGGGGAGGCCCACTGAAGCTTTTGCTTCTTTTTTCTCCTTTTTTCCTTTTTTCTTGTTTCTCAACTTTCTGTTCTATTTCCTATTTTCCCTTCCCCCGTTTATCGTGCACGGTTCCCCACAGTTCTTAAATTGTGTATCCATCAAGTCCATCAAATATCCAATCTGATCCAATCAGATCAGACCAGATCAGACCAGATCCAATCTGATCCAATCAGATCAGACCAGATCAGATCCAATCTGATCCAATCAGATTAGACCAGATCAGATCAGATCAGATCAGACCAGATCAGATCAGATCAGATCAGACCAGATCAGATCCAATCTGATCCAATCAGATCAGATCCAATCTGATCCAATCACATCAGACCAGACCAGATCCAATCTGATCCGATCAGATCGGAGCAATCCTTATGGATGGACGTAAATGGTCATTTCATTCCCAAAGAAAAGATGCATCCAATCCTGATAAGATATAGATCCAATCAGATAGCTGGAACTAAATGTCAGTGCCAAACGGCCCATTTCCTCGCTACCTGCGGCCAGCTCACAGAGAGGATGCAAAGTTTCTAAACCTCCTCAGGCACCATACCTTAAACCACCAGTACACCTGGGCCTGTGGGCCCCTTGCTGTGCGCCAAGGTTTTCCGAGCCGCCAGCCGTGCACTTTTTTCCTTTTTTGGCTGGCGCCGCCAGCCATCATGGTCCACTAGGCCAAGCCTCCAATTTTTTTGTAGGCTACGAGTTTCTCTTTCAGCAAGGCTGGGGCCGTGTACTGGGGCGGTGTAACCCCAGGAGACCATCCCTCAAAAACAATAATGCCTTGGTCAGATCAGGCACTGCAGAGTACCGTTCATAAAGCAAAAACGCGGAGGACATATCCTTAAAAGCACCAGTACGGCAGACCGTATATTGTTGCCAAACCTAGTTTTTTTGCGGCCAAAAGCAAATTGAACTGGTCCAGTGGTCCCCACCAGGCTGGTACACAGAAAGTGCAGCCTCCTTGTGAACCACAGGATGTTTCCATGGAGGGGCCCTCCGACTGGTGGTTTAAGTTTTGTTGGGGATCATGCCAATTCAGGAACTACAGTACTGCAAGGGTGTCGAGTGTCCTGATGGGGGTGAACACTCGTAAACCGGCGGCCTGTACTGCAAGGGTGTCGAGTGCCCTGATGGGGGTGAGCTCGTAATCCGGCGGCATGAGGAGAGGGGTCGACAGTGAGAGGCAACAGGGAGAGTTCCAGAGAAATCAGAGAGGCTTCTTCGCTCGTACTACATACCTTCACGTCCTCCCCATGAGCTTTGATGAGCAGATCCATGTAAGTTCTCTGCATCGTTGTCAGAGGAACAAGCCATGCTGGTTTCTCACCCTTTCTCTTCCTTCCACAGGCAATCTTCAACTCTGCAAGAAACATGCACCCCCCGCATTTACACTGTCATTGAACATAGTTCGCCGAACATAGTCACCTTCACCAAGACCCGCCGAACGTTATCAACTACCCAGCACAGAAGAAGGTAAAGTTGAAAACAAGCATAGGTGAAGTTGAGAACAAGCATAGGTAAAGTTGAGGTAAAGTTGAGAACAAGCATAGGTAAAGTTGAGAACAAGCATAGGTAAAGTTGAGAACAAGCATAGG